TACCCAAGTATTAGCTATGTCAGAGTCAATGCTTAAAACAGTAAGCATTCCCTTTCAGCTTGTAAAGTCACTACATCGGAGGAACGGTCATTTTTTCCCCCCAGGATGGCCGTCTTTCCCTCTGCTGGAGTTTAAAATCACTCTTGGCTGTTAATCCGTGGAAGGCCTGTTAGAAATAAAATAAAAAATATACAGGGAAAAGTGCCATTAAAAAAAGAGTTTACGAGGCAGCAACTTAAGCTACTGGCTCTCCCATACTGGCCAGCGTCTGTTTCTCATTTACAACATGCCTGAGTCAGTGAAGAGATGAGATCCCGTCAGTATAGCTGTGAGCTGGGCAGGGCATTCATTCGGCCTGCCTAATGGTCGCTAATGAAATTCGTGGGTTTCCTCCTTGCATAGATGGAAAGAGCCGGATCCTGGTGGCAACGCTCTTGTGGTGTTTGCCTCTCGATGAGTTAGTTTAATTGATAGAAAGGGTTGTCCAATGGTCAGAGCACTAACCTGGCACTCAGACCCATTGGGTCAGTGCCCTGCTGTGACACAGACTTCCTGTGTGACACAGGACAAGTCACTTAGGTTTTCCTGGGCATAGTCCTCCATCGGTGCTTCACAGGGAGGTTGTGAGGACAAATACTTAGAAGACTGAGAGCTGCTCAGGTACTGCAATTGTAGGGGGCATGTAAATACTGTAGATAGATAATCCTGCCTTGGCATTTAGGGACCTAGCTTCTAATCCTGGTTTTATGTTACCTTGGGAGAATCACTTCACCTGATGGCATCTGTTTGCCCATCTGTAGAATGAGGGTAATGATATTTACTACTAAATGTTGTTTGTACAGTTGATATCCTGCATATTTAAATTATTTAACGACATCTCTAGGTGCCCAGAAGTGTGAAGTTTTGTTAATTACTTTCATCTGTTCGTTGTAATCGCCTGTTGTCTCTCGTCAGACACTTGCATTGGAAGCCCTTTGAGGCCTGGGCTGTCTTGTCATTGTGTGTTTGTCCAGCACCTAGCACAATGGGGCCCTGATCCCTGACTAGGGGCCTCCAGGTTCTACTACAAGACACATGTTAAATAATGCTATTAAGGCCAGGCCGGGACAGGAAATGGGAACCAAACTGAGGACTTCTTGACTCCCAGCCATGTGCTTAAATAGAGGCTATTACCTTTTCCTGCCACTTTTCCCAAATTCACAGTTTGTGGCATGGTGGCATTTTGATTTGTTGTTTGCTCATTTAATGCAAACGCCGAGAAAATATTTGTGTCTGGTTTTCTATGGAGAATTTAATAAAATGTTTCCAGCTTCACAAATCGGGCACATTTCAAAGATTAAATAACTTTCACTTCACCCGGCTCAAGCTGAGGACCCCCAAAGCTTACTTGTTTTGTGAAATGATTCAGGATTCAGGTGTGTCTTCACTTGAGTCCCCTCATTGTCCGGATCTCTGGTCAGTATTGGAAGCCTCTGCAGCTCAGGAAGGAGTCCATTACCTCCCCACAATGGGCCATTAAACTCAATGACAGTGGAGACTGCCTCTCTGTTTGGCCCTGGCTGTGTGGTGCTGCATCTGGGGTCATTTACCACTCTCTGGGTAGCTGTTAGGAACCCCTCATCTCTGTCATTATAGGAGAGGAACCCATTTACCTTACTCTTAGATACAAGACAGTGGAGGCCCAGTTCTAAATCCCAGGCCATATTAGGCTCTTCCCCAGAATCTGTCATAGTCTGTTAGCTCTCGAGGAGACAGGCTGCTGGTTCCTGTGGCGAAAAGAGCCCATTCCCTGCTCTGTCATTTTCAGTTCCATATGTGTTTCTCCAGACTGGAGCAGGAAAGGCCTGCCGTGGAATTTCTGTGTGTTCCCTCACCCCCTCCAACCCTGGGGGCTGCAGCTGAGCTCCCCCTTCCCACTTTGTGAGTCCCCTCTGGTTTCTTGGTTTCCTTTCTAATTGCTGTCAAGTATCAGGGGGTAGCCGTGTTAGTCTGTATCCACAAAAACAACAAGGAGTCTGGTGGCACCTTAAAGACTAACAGATTTATTTGGGCATAAGCTTTCGTGGGCTATAACCCACTTCGTCAGATGCACGGAGTGAAAAATACAGTAGGCAGGTATAAATATACAGCACATGAAAAGATGGGAGTTGCCTTACCAAGTGAGGGGTCCAGGGCTAACGAGGCCAATTCAGTCCGGGTGTATGTGGCCCATTCCCAAAAGTTGACAAGAAGGGGTGAATATAAACAGAGGGGAAATTACATTACTTTTTATTGTGATCCAGCCACTCCCAGTCTTTATTCAGGCCTAATTTGATGGTGTCAAGTTTGCAAATTAATTCCAGTTCTTCAGTATCAGGGGGTAGCCGTGTTAGTCTGTATCCACAAAAACAACAAGGAGTCCGGTGCCACCTGCCTACTGTATTTTTCACTCCATGCATCTGATGAAGTGGGTTATATCCCCCGAAAGCTTATGCCCAAATAAATCTGTTATCCTTTAAGGTGCCACCGGACTCCTTGTTGTTTTTCTAATTGCTGTAACTTTGACCTGGCAGGAGGATGGTGCTTTAGGGCTTTTTCTATAACACTCTGACCATTTGCATTTGACGAGGAGAGTTTTATTCTTGGCACAGCTCCAGATTCCATCCCGAAGGTGACTAGAATCTTGAATCCAGATCGAGAAATGCTTGTGCTGTCCATTGGCTTGAATCACTTAGCCACCACAGAGAAACACCTTCCCTCCTGCCTGTCAGGATCATAGGTTCCCTTTATGAAACAGAAGGATTTTGTAGGATGACAGGCCGGGTTTGCTGTTTCCAGGCTTAATCTGAGGAAGCTCTAGGAAGTCTAAAGGGGCCATTTCCAGAAGAGTTAGGGGCTTAAGTTCCTGAGGCCTAAAGGATATTGCGAGGAAGAAGGGGAGTTAGCATCCTGGCTTCCAGCGACATCAAAGTTCATCCTTTTAGAGAGCTGGCATCTCCTTAGCTAGCTTTGCTTTATATCTGGCACGGTGAGATATCTCCAGTGAACGACTGCAACAGATCTGTGGATGTAGCTGCAAATACGTGTGGGCAGTTTTACTGCCTGCACAGTATGCTGAGAGCTTTGGAGCATCCACGCTAAGCGTGCAACCTTTCCACTCATCCCCCTCACGTACCAGTGTAAACTAGGATTGCTATGCATAGAGCAGCCTGATTTTGTTTCCTCATTTCCCCCTCAGTGAGGGCCCCATCCTGCACGCATTAGCTCTCAGCACGCAGAATGCCCACTGAGCTCAGCGGGAATGTCATGCGAGGAAGCATGGCAGAATCGGACCCTTTGTGAATCAGGTATCTGTTTTACAGCTAGCATTTGCTGACTAGCTTTCAGGACTGTGACCCAATCTGTACCAGTTTGTAGAGCTGGGACCAAGTTTTGCAGACTCAAGATGAGTTCATAGAAGCATCTAGTCTGGGATTTTCTAAAGAGCCTAAGGGCATTAGGTGTCTATCTCCCATTTGAATTCATTGGGATTTGGGTGCTAATTCCCTTGGGTCTACTTGAAAATCCCAGCCCTAAACTTCAGGGTGCTTATTTTAACCAAATCTCTGAGCGTTTGGACACCTCTGTCTTCCCATTAGCGTGGGTGGGAGCGGAAGGTGCGGCTTCACATACAGGAACAGCACCTCAGCCCTTCAGCTTCCTTCTGGGCCCAGCTGCAGGTGGCAGAAGTCCCACTCGTGCGTCACTGAGCTAAGAGAGGATCTGTACTGGTGACCCCTTCGGCTTTCTGCAGAGAGCTAGTTGGAAATTTCTCAATACGTGGGGTTTTCTTTGGAAAATGTCAATTAATCGAAGCCAAAACTTTTTGCAGGTAAGGATTGGTGTCGATGAAACTCTGGTTGGAAAGGTTTCTTGAGCCCAGAATGGGCTTTCTAGTCAAAACGAGAGAATTAAGAGCCCACCCCAGAATAACCTGTAGTCCAGTGGTTAGGGCTTGGACCTGGCTTTCCCACATCCCATCTCAGTGCCTTAACCACCAGGCTATAGGCTATATTGGGAGGGGTCAATCTCTCCCTCTCTCTCTGTTTTTTGTGAAAACTTTTGAAAGGTCTCAGTTTTGTCCGGATGCAGAATGGGAAAATATTTGAAATCTCAAAAATGTTCATGGGTCAGGAAAACCATTTCCCTCTCATCTCTGTTGCTGCATACAGGTCCCGCTGGGCAGTTGGAGACTAGCCAGAGGTGTTGGATGATGGGGTAGGGTAAGAGAGAAGAGGGGAATAGGTTTATGGAGTTGGGGCTACAGATTGTGAAATTGATAGGATATAGAAATAATTTTGCTAAAATAAAACACAGAAAGAAGTGGCACCAGGTCGCAAAAGGGAAGCATATCCCATGCCGATGAGTCTGTTTTTGAAGCAACAGACACTGATGTGCACCCCAGGAATGAAACCTGATTAAAAATGAAACCAAGAATGAGTGTTCAGAGTGTAGTTAGGAGGATCCAACCCGCCTCCCAGTAAAATTGGGTTTTGCTGGAGTTGGGAAGCAGAAGCAATTGATAATGCATTGCCTCTAGCTTGTGGGGGAAGAGAGGAGTGGGGGGTACTCTCAGGGTTTGTGTCTCCAGAGATAAAATGCATAGCCCACAGCAAGCCAGGAAGAACAATGATGCTTCAATATATTTCCTGAATAATAACATCCCCTCTTGTGTGGCTGCAATGAAAATATCCTGCGCAGAAAATATTGCTAAAGGTTATTTTTCCCTGCACTTAATCTTCTGTCTTGTGGGCCGATTGAGAATGCAAAGAGAATTGTCTGTGATCAAATATACCAGGGTGCATGCTGGACTCCAAGTGCGGGATGTTTGGCTGCCCTGCCTGGTAAACAGCCATCCAATTTAGATCCAGGTTAATGTCCCAAATGCCCAGAGTTCAGGAGTGTTCAGACCTGATGTTATATAAAGGTAAGTGGCCCCCTAGTAACTGGAGCACCTTTGTCTCCATGTTTGCTCCTCCCAGGACTGCCCACAGCTGTTTCCCACAGAAGAGATTCTGATCCCAGTAGGGGAGGTGAAGCCCATCACACTGAAAGCCAGAAACCTGCCCCAGCCCCAGTCTGGCCAGCGTGGGTATGAATGTGTCCTCAACATTCAAGGAGTTATTCATCGTGTGCCAGCTCTGCGCTTCAACAGCTCCAGCGTCCAGTGCCAGAACAGTTCGGTAAGGAGCCGGTGCTCTGGGGATTGACGCAGGAGAAGGGAAGGGATTGTTGGAGTGAGAGAGGGGAGTGGCTGCAGTGATGGGAGAGGGGTAGGATAAAGGGGGCCCAACAGCCAATGGCCATGCTGCAAGTGAGTCCTGGATTGCAGAAGCTTTAGAGTTGAATGGATGAGGTTATCAGGGAGCCGCAGAGCCTGCTCCTGGGCTGAATTTGCACCATCGACTAACACTTCCACATGCTGTGAGGTAGGTAAGTATTGTTATCTTTACTTCCAGATGAGGGAACTAAGTGAGGTTACATAACTTGCCCATGGCCACAGAGGAAGTCAGTGTTAGACCTGGGCCTAGAATCAGTTGTTGTTCCTGGCACCCATCACCGTGTTCTAACCACTAGGCAATGCTTCCACTTCCCGATATTAGAGATGCCTCTTTATTTTATTTAAACCAGCCATCCTACCTCTAACACAGCAGTCACCCTAATGTTGACATCAACGAGGAGACACTGTGAATAAGGCAAATTTAACTAGAAGAGAAAAAAGATGAAAGGAAAATGGGAGAGGGGAGGCAGAAGGAATAAAAAAATCTAGGGGTTAAACTAATCCTGAATTTCAGATGGGAATCCGCTGTAGGCATGTGAGGTGTTTAATTATAATACTGGCTGGGTGAAGGTCCTTTATCTGCCAGTGACTGTGGGAGGGTCAGTGAAGGCGAGACAGGGACAGGTGGGGGGAAGAATACAACAAAGGTGTTAAGGCAAGCTAATTCACACAGGAGAGAGAGAGAGAATTATTGGCCTCTTATCAGAGAGCTGTCGAATTCCAGGTCACCGCAGCTTAATGGAATGTGCAATGCTAGGAAAGAGGGGAATGGGACTCAGCTGGGGGAGCAGACGTGGCACCGCAGAGTGATACAAATTCTCTGAATGAAACCACTAAAGACATGCATACAGGGGGCGACTGCAGCTTGGTCTGCATTGTGGCAGCGTGGCATAGCCCATGAAAGTAAAGCCCAAGAGATTCTACAGCAACTTCTCAAGCTGTAGGAACGCCATTGGAACCATTAACAGAGAATATCATCGTACTTCTTAGCGGGAAGGCTCTCGCTTTTTGCAGTCATTCTTGCACATGGTAGGGAACAAAACCCAGGTTCTGCTGCATTCACAGCACAATGCAGATCTCAGCTCTTCACAAAGGCCATTCTCCAAACTGCAGAGGAAGTGCCTCTGTGTTTGTTTGCAGAAGACACGAGTCTACAAATGGAAAAAGGGCTGGGTGAAGAAGTTTGGGTCTCTGATCTCTAGTCATGTATCAGTGAGGGTTTTAGAAAGCTGCATGGACAGATAGCTAGAGTTGCTTGGTTCTAGATGGTGGAACCAGGAACTTCAGGATCTACTTTAACAATCCATGCAGATACTCCTAGCTTATTAATCAGGTTCTGAATTGTCTTACATTTCCCTGGATATTTGTGCCTCACTAGCTCTCTGTAGGCCCCATAGCAGGGTAGATAATAAATGTAATAATACTAAATAGCCCTTTTCCTATCCAAAGTGATTTATAAACATTACCTAACAAATACTCAGAGCAGCCCTGCTTTAGAGAAATCCTATTATCCTTTTATACAAATGGGAAACTGGAGGCAGACAGTTTAAGGGCCAGTCTGCACACAAAGTTGTACCAATACAACTAAAGGTGTGGTTTTACACTGACTTAGTTAAACCAGAGCAACTCTATGTGGGTGAGGCCACTTTGATATCGGTTTAATCCAGGCTTGTAATGTTTAGTTCACGCTGGTAAATGTATATGGACATGCTAAACCAGTATAAGTAGATCTACATTAAACCAGTGCAGCTTCTGAGTGTAGACAAGCCCTAAGTGACTTGCCCAAGACCACATGGGGAGCTAGTGTCAGAGTTGGGATTAAAACGCTGGACCTCGTGAGTCCTATTCCTGTACTTATTCCATTCATGTCATATCCTGCTCGACAGCATGAAGGCTGATGTAGAACAGATGTGGATAAATAATCTGTGAGGAAGGGAACACTAAACAGTCAAGCGTTTTGGTGGGGTTTCTTTAATATGCTTGCTTTTTACAGTCCCATTGACATTTTCCTTGTAGGAAAATTGGCGTCATTGGTTGATCTGCAAAGACTGCCAGCATAGGGCCCAATATGTGCTAATTATGACTATGGCACTTGTGAAGTGTCTACTAGGAGAATGGTCTGAGACCTCCAAACTCATCTGTATGGCCCCGGGCATCCGCCCATACACATTCCAGGCAGTGCTACCCTGATCTGGATTTGAACTGGTAACTTAGAAAATTCCTCCTCTCCACCCTGAATAGGGCGCACTGACTGAAATATTTCCTTAGTAAGTTGTCAGATCTTTGCAGCACATTTGTACATTCCTGATTACATTGAGGGAGTGTGGTGTTAGACGGAAAGTTGTCCCAATCTGTCTCCTGGGCAGAAGTGCTACTGTGTAGAGCCTCAGTCTAGTCTCATTAAATAGTGGGGCAGTATTTATGAGAACAGTCATTGTGTCTGGGATAATTAATCTATTACCTCTTGCAGGGTCCATCAGCTGATTTTAATTATCTTTCTCTGGCAAGGAGAAATGAGTCTCACCATGTGGACCCAAAGCAGGATCCTAGAAATGAGAGTTAGAATTGTTGGTCACTTAGACATCATCATGTGTTTTTTAAGCAAAAAGTTGTTAGTTATATATATATATATGTATATATATATGTATATATATA